CACTGCTAGTGGTAAGGTCTTGACTATACACAAAGCTACAATTCTCTTCTTTTGGCTCCTAGGGCACCTGGGAGGGCTCACTCTCTGTCTAATAATTCACTTCTGGCCTGTAAGCCCTACGTGTTAGCTCTTGCTTTTCTCTTCTCCCCTGTTCCCCCACCTACAAGCAGGTCCTTCTCCCTCTGGGCAGAGAGCAGAGCCCCGGCATGGTCCCGAATCAGGCTCTCCTGCTCTGTCTGACTGATTCCCAGCCCTGTCTCCTACCACATTGGTCAGCCACCAGCAGCCTCCTGGAATGCAAGTCTTCTTCCCTTAAAATGATGAGGAGGGATAGGATTTCATGTCACAGCACTCAGGGCTGTTCCGCAGCAGAAGGTTGTCTGTGTCACTCACCGCTGCCTGTCAGAGCCCAGGCTGCTCCACCTGCCTGTGCCTCCCTCCATGCAGAAGCCCTGCCTTCCTGCCGCCCTTCCGACATCCATGTGCTTAACCCCTTCTTGCCCTTTCTCCTTTTCCTCCTAACTAAAAGCAGTTCTCTTCTGAGATCTTTTCCATTCTGCAAAATCTAGGTCGATATTGCCTCTCCCGCAAATGCTCTATCACAGAAAGAAGAAGTGATCCGTCTGTACGTTGGCCAAGCTCTGGTGGGAGTAGCTCAGCCCTCTTGTGAGGTCTTCATATGTCCACACACTGCCGTCCCCAATGTTGCTTTTGGACACATTTTCCTGTACAAATGTGGCATTATGAGCAGTAACTCATGGGTTCAATAGGCTTTTCAGGACCTAAGGGCCTTATGTAAAATTGGCTCTCCAAGAAAGTGTAACCTGAACCCCACACATCTATTTAGCTAGTTTTTATTTTTTTAAACAGCTAATTCATTCACATGATTTGAAAGTCCAAAATCATAAAAGGGTAATATAGTGAAGTTTCTTTCCCACCCTTGTCCACTTCCCCTCTCTGGGGAGAGTCACTGTTATTACTTTCTCATGTATGTTTCCAGAAATATTTTACAGATACACAAGCCATTACAAATATATTTACATAATCCACCTGTCTTTTTCACCTTTGAAGATGTATATCGTTGGGCTTTTTCTGTATGAACATATTAAAAGCTGCTTCATTGTTTTTTACATCCGAATTAGTATTCATTTGTGTGAATGCATCTTAGTTTATTTAACTGGTCCTCTATAGGTAGACAATTAGGTTGTTTCCAACTCTTGGCTGTTAAAGACTCTGCTGGGTTGAGCAACCTTGTGTGTTGTTTCTCACATATGTGAGTTGGATAGGTCCCTGTGAGCGGAATCGGGGGTCAAAGGGCATATGATTTGCAGCTTTGGTAGATACCGGCAAACTGCCTCGCATAGAGGTTGGCTGTGTTCATGCTTCTGCCATCAGGCTGCGCACAGACCACGCCCACCCTCATCAGCCCAGCGCACTGTCATACGTTTGTGTCTGAAACAGACTTTGATAATTCGGGAGCTGACTGAATTCCCAGGGAATGTGTCCATTAAGTGTCACATCAAGGCCCCGACGCTGGGAGCCCGGCCCCTGGCTTGGTGCATGGTGGCCGTGTGACCTTCGCAGGGTGGCTCACTGTGCCTCAGTAGGCCCTCACTTGTAAAATGGGGAGAGTAGCAGGAGAGGCCTCATGGGATCTCCTGGGTCAGCCGGTCCATGACAAAGGTAGGGACAGTGCCCAGCACCAGAGGAGCCCTCAGCACATACTGACTGTCGTATTAATGGCCGCTGCTTCCCGGGAGGTGCTCACACCCTCTCCGGGACCGGCCACTTTCTTGCCCCGCAAGAAGCCACCACGTTAGGTTTCTGTATAAGCAACTGGCAGAGATGAAGCTGAAAGAGCTGTCGGGCTGGAGAGCGAGAGGGGCAAACTGGTAGAGCTGCGTGGACTTAGCCCCGTGTGCCCAGAAAGGAGAGGAGGACGTGTGGGTGCAGGAACCATGCGCGTCGGGTTGCCTCCCCGGGTCCTGGCGCGGCTGCCGCTGCACTGGGGGAGGACAGATGGCAGACGAGGCGCAGGGACCAGGTCAGAGCTTTGTCGCTGCCAACATCAACTCATCTCAAGTTGTAAAACTGACATTTTTGCCCCAAATTCCTTCTTTTTTTGTAACTTTCAAAATATTTGGGGGTTCTCAGGACTGGCACATAGTGGAAATTCAATGCAGATTATGACTTCTGAAGTCCTAGAAGCCTGTGTCCGTGTCACGCGGTGCATATGCTGTAAATATTTGTAGAAAGAAAGGAAAATGCCTTTGAAGGTGCTTTGTCTTTACTGTCCCACTCTCCAGAATCCACTGTCCGAGGCATAGGTCGCCTCCTCACCGACTCTTCTCTTACCTTTTTCCTTATTTTTGGCCGTGTCTCTCCATACCACTGACGTAAAACCCAAATTCAAGCAGGCTGAGGGAGCCCCTGGCTGGAGGCTCCGGAGCTCGCGACCGTGGCCTTGGCCAGGCAGGGAGTGGAGTGACCGAGGGCCAGGGCCTGGCCTGCACCTTGCCCCCTCTCAGGTCCAGGCCAGGAGGCCTGAGGACTGAGCCCGCCTCCCCACACTCTCAGAGAGCAGCAGGTGTTTCCCCCACCCCTTCCCTCTTCCTCCTCATCGCCCCAAATCCTTGTTTAAGTAGAGGTTGGATGTGGATGATCCAGTCAGAGGAGCAGGGAACTGCTCTCTGGCTACATCTTCATAGGACATTTTATTTCTTCATAATTTAGAACACGCTGCCCCGGGCCCTGGCCTCATATGACCCCGGCTCACCAGCTGACCACAGGCAGCCTCCGTGCCCTGAGCTGCGGTGAACATGCTGTGTCTTTCCGTGGCAGCTGCTCTCCCGGCCGTGTGTGCTGAAGACGCCACTCCAGTGGGCAGCTGTCCCTCAGGGCTGTGCAGCTGCTGCAGGCAGAAAGCCACACGGTGCCCAGGGAGGCAGGAAGGCCACCTCTGGGTAGCAGGGCCTAGGCCAGTCCCGGGTATCGTGCGCATGAGTGGGAAGGAAGTCCTGATGCTTTAATAGGGAGACCCGAGGTTTCAACTTTTGTTACTGCGACAAGACCCAAATTAGAGCTAGAACTGTGAGAGAGAGAACGTCAAGACCCACAGTCGTGCCAGGCTTGGCGGTCCATGGTCGGCCCACTCCGCGTGGGTGCAACCTCCTCGTGCTGCCTCGCCTCCTCGCACACCCGGCGCCGGAGTGGGGCGGGCTCTCCCCAGCTCGTTGTGCTCGGCCTTTTTGGACCTGGGTTGAGGGATGCTGACACGCTGGGCAAGCTGCTTCCCAGAGTTCGTTGTTACTGTGCCAGCGGGCAGTGGAGAATAGCTCTTGTCACCTGTCACTGGTAAATGGATTTATTATAAAACTCTTGCTGAAAAGGAAGAAATACTCGGCAGATGCAGGCAGCCTCCAGCTGCTTCAGAGCAAATGTGGCTCCCTTCAAGCCACTGGCTAACCCGGCCCTTGGAGTATTTATTTGCATGCTCTGTGGTGGGGTGGGAGAGGCCACAGCAGAGCTATGTGGGGAGTCCCTGCAGTGGGGAAGGTTGTAGCTTCTCCGTGTCAGCTGATGAAGCTGAAGAAATGGAGGTTCATTTTCAAAAGATAAAAGTGTCTCCTCAGTAAAAGAGGGCCTAATGCCCCCAACGATTTCTTCTAGCTCGTTACTTCTAGTCTTGTCATGTATGTGCGGGAAGGAGTTAGTTTTATATGCTGGCAGCAAACTACCACAAGCTTCGGGGCTTACAACACCACCCATTTATACTCTCAGGGTTTCTGGGCCGGGCTGAGTTCCAGGGTCTCACTGGGCTGTAATCCATCCATGGACCAGGGCAGTGGTCTCATCAGAGGCTCAACTGGGGAAGGATCCACTTCCGAGCTCCTTAACACTGTTGGCAGAATTCATTCCCATAGGCCCTCGCACAGCCTGCTTAGTTTTTCAAAGCCAGCAAGGGGGCCTCTCCCTCGCCAGCTCAGATGGAAACTTGTATAACATAACCTAATCAGGGAGTGACCTGTCACCTTTGCCATTTTCTCTTGGTTAAAAGCGAGTCACAGGTTCCACACACACAGGCATGAACACCAGGGGAAGACCCTGGGAGCTCCCTTAGAATTCTGCCTGCTCCCGGAGGGGGAGATACAGGCCTTATCAGCAATATTTCAAAAGTGTGCCCAAGTGAAAGCCCAGCCTATTACATGTGATCACAATGCTGCTGCTTTGAAGTTTTGTTCTTTTTCTTTTATCTCAGAATGCCTCCAAATACAGAAGTCCTCGATAGTCCAGTACTGTCTGCCACAACTTAATTCCAATTCTAGCTCTTTTGTTTACTTGCTATAAGTTATTAAGAAATGCTGATTTTTTTTTAGGGGGAGGGTTTTTCTGAATCTCAGATTTTTCATCTGTAGAATGCATTCCACTAAGATTTTTTTTTGGACACTAGCATATGATAGTCATTGTCACTACTAGTAAATGATATTTCCAGCTCTTTCCTAATAAGAGTATTCATTTTTATTGCATTAATTTTATTTATATACAGAACTAAACAACAAAATATTATCAGTCTTGCCAGTGTACACACCAAAGCAAAAGAGAAAAATATATTTTAAAACAAATCCATTTGTCTCTAAGGAGCTGAAATCACCGGTAATATGTGACAAGCAATTCTTAGACTAGAGGAAAAGAACTAATATCCTAGACCTGTCCAGAAAATTATGTCCATGGCCACATCTAAAAAATGCTGATGCCAGGGTTTTTAAGTCTCACTCATGGTCTCTCTCTTTGTTTTTTTCTTTTTCCCTCTGAAGTAAGACTAAGATTAGTGAACCCTTGTTAAGATTAAAGTTTTGATCCTGCTTAGTGGAGGGAAGCAATAAGATAAAAGTTCAGCTTTAGGTGGGAGCTGGCCCTGCCATGATTTACAGGCTCTGTGAAAAGGCGGGCCACTGGGAGCACCGAGGGTAGATTATAACCTGCTCTGGTTTCTTCTCCAGGTTTCTCCTCGTTGTGGAAGGGACTGATTGATGTGACTGGCTCTCCAGGAAGCCCCGTTTGGCCAGAACCTCAGGACGGTCCTCAGACCCCATCATCTCATTTCAGAGCCACTTCTGAAGCCGCTTGAGAAAAATGATGTGACGGTTCTCATCAAAAAGGATTTTTTCAGAAACCTATAACATCCGTGAAGGAAAGTGGCCCCTTTTCCCTCCTGTGAAATAGACGTTCTCAAATTCCAAGATGCCGGCCAAGACCCCCATTTACCTGAAAGCGGCCAATAACAAGAAAGGAAAGAAATTTAAACTGAGGGACATTTTGTCTCCCGACATGATCAGTCCCCCCCTCGGAGACTTCCGCCACACCATTCACATCGGCAAAGAGGGCCAGCACGACGTGTTTGGAGATATTTCTTTCCTTCAAGGGAACTATGAGCTTCTGCCTGGGAACCAGGAGAAGGCGTGCGTGGGCCCGTTCCCCGGGCACAACGAGTTCTTCCGGGCCAACAGCACCTCGGACTCCATGTTCTCAGAGACGCCCTCCCCGGTGCTCAAAAACGCCATCTCCCTCCCGACCATCGGAGGGTCCCAAGCGCTCATGTTGCCCTTATTGTCACCGGTGACATTTAATTCCAAACAGGAGTCCTTTGGGCCGGCAAAGCTGCCCAGGCTTAGCTGTGAGCCCGTCATGGAGGAAAAAGCTCAGGAGAAAGGCAGCCTGTCGGAGAGCGGGACCGTCCACCAGGGAGACACCTCCTGGGGCTCCAGTGGTTCCGCATCTCAGTCCAGCCAGGGCAGGGACAGCCACTCCTCCAGCCTGTCCGAACAGTACCCCGACTGGCCCGCCGAGGACATGTTTGACCACCCTGCCTCGTGCGAGCTCATCAAGGGAAAGACTAAGTCGGAGGAGTCCCTCTCTGATCTCACAGGTTCCCTCCTCTCCCTGCAGCTCGACCTTGGGCCCTCACTTTTGGATGAGGTGCTGAATGTCATGGATAAAAATAAGTAACAGGATACCAGCTCTTTTCCTTTGGGGTAAAAGGTACCAAACAACAACAACAAAACTAACACCAGTCGCACAGTTGAAAGAAGGGCTTCCTGGGCTGTATTTGCAGTTGTGTGATGGGTTTTCTAAAATAATGTTCCTACAAAATATTTTTTTTTTTACCTGTTTGCAAAAACACTTCAGAAAAAAGCAAAAAAAAAAAAAAACCACAAAACCTGTCCTGGCAAAAAGAGGAAGTGAGTGAGTCAGAGCCCATTTTCAGCAGATTAGCTCACTTTTGTTGTTTGCAGACGCACGTAGGAAATCTGGCTTGGCCAGGACTGGCACTAGCTATGAGGGCTGGATGAGTCTCGTTAAGGAACCTTACCGAACTTCACAGCACTCCAACATTTTCTGAGCAAGAGGAAGTCAAAAATTATTTAACACCTAAGCCTTTTTTTCTAGACTCTTTTCTATATTATATTGTTTGGGTTCACCACAGTGAATTCTCCAGTGTTAAAGCTTTTCTCTGTTTTCACATTTGAACAACTTTGTGGGTTTGGGGGATTTTCTTGTAGTTCTTCTATATCCCTATATATTATATCTATATCGCAAATTTTTGACTGTCAGCTACATGTTGGTAAGACACAAGCAAAGTATTACTGTAACTAAGTTATTTTTAAAGTTAAAATATATTTTTATGTGCCTTTGGCTTTTTATTGCAGAGTCTACATTTTATAGATAATACATCAAATGTGGTCAGTTTGACTTGTTTCCGTTGGGGTTCCATTGTAAGCTGTGTACGTGTGTGTTCAGAAAAGTGTATTCATTCTTAGCTTTATTTTTTTTTTTCCTCCATCTGTATCATACTTTTAACAGCAGCCAATAATGGATTGTAAAACATAAAGGCACAGGTTACTCATGATGCTTCCGCAGAGACTGTGGGCTACACCACGCAATGTAATGTGGAAATATGGGTATTTTAGTACAGTACATACTTGCATTACATAGGTACTTCATACAACACAATAAAGAGTAAATGTTAAATTGAACTTGCTCGTTTATAGTGATAAAAAAGAATCTAAGAGAAAAAGAATATTTTCTTTAAGTATAGATAGAAAATCTGCTCTAGAATGTACACGAGACTTTAAGGTAAGAGATGATTTCTGTGCACTCTAATTTTGATTATTTCCTTAAGGTTTAAGATTCTGGAAACTGGTCCCCTCAACTTTAGGAAAAGTAGATATATGAGATCAAAAATTTTTTAATGTCAACACTGAAGTCACCCTCTCGCTGCTCATTTCTGGCCACTCTTCCCTGACTTTAGCATCCTCTACTGCAAAATCTTGCAAGCTCAGTCTTATCCCTGTAGGACAAATGTTCGTCCATGAAGAGTGCCATGTAGACAAGATTAGGGAGGCTAGAAGGAGGGCAATAGAGGGAACTTGCCTACCCCAAGGAGCCAGGGATACCCTGAGGATGTTGGTAACAGGAACAGGAAATGTACAGACTGATTCCTGTCCCTTTGTCAACCACTCCTTCCCTCCAGAGAAACACTTCCACACAGTAACTGCCAGCTCTTCCTCTCAAACTTTTGTTTATACTTGATATCCTTAAAATGACCTTTTCTCCCAACCACTTCACTGCTGTTTGGAATTGTTGCAATGCTATCATCTGAAATAACCTTTGGACTGCAGGAGAAATGCACTTAGGACAACTAACCAAGTAGAAAAGGAAACAAGTCCCCCTAGAGCCTCAAGTGCTTTCCTCAATTTCCCAATTGTATTTCTTTATCCCACGACCTTGCATTGTTCTTTTTCCGTTGGACCACACCCTTCAAAAGTTCACAGTTCCAGAGACTTCCCAGCCTCTTCTAAATCTTGTTAATGAGGAAGAGTCCAGTGTATCTCATCATCTATAGCCAGTTTTAGCCAGACCCTTTAAATACCATCCCATCTTAATTATTATTGACCATATTCAGTCTGACCTTACTCTTCTTCTGTAGCATGACCTCAAGGAAAAGATTAAACTGTTAGGCAAAGTGAAGAGGAGTGTGTCTGTGCGTTTTCTCTGCTGCCTCTTGGTAAGTATGGAGAACAGCCCTGAACCGTGCTGGATTTGTCTGATACAGTCTAATCACACATCCTGCACGCATTTAGCCATTTTACTTTCTCCAAGCCCTTTCACATACACTCTTTCCCATTAGATTAGGTATAATTGAGATGGCAACAAATACACCCCTATTAGACGGAACAAAACTACATCCGGCTGATAAATGATTTTTTTGAGTCAGTTCTGCCCTGGCAGCCCTGCTGATGCCTGGTCCCTTTGCCAGAAAGCAGGTGCACAGCTGGTGGTGGCTTTCTCTCCTGCAAAGTGGCACTTTAGACTCCCACCTGCTGAGAGCTGAATTGATGTTCTCAGACCATGAATTCCCAGCCTGTGAACATTCTCCACTTTTAACCTAATTTGTCTTTACTTGCCTAAAGGTAAGGAAACCCAAGATGCACTTTATTTGCAAACTCAAAGAGAATAGCAAACCACCTGTGACCCAGCAGCCAGAAAAGAGACCTTGTGATTTGTATAAATACAGACCCTTCTTGTTGAGGTAGGCTAGCTTCCTGTGGGTGATTCCTCCCCACCCCCAAGCAGTGAGACCTAACAACAAGCCTTATTATTTCTGCTTAAATTATCTGCTTAAAAATATCAAAATATTCAGGGTACTTAGCTCTTCACAAATATGAAGTCATTAATTATCACATTTCAGTGAGCCAGAAATCACTGTCAGCAGCACACACAAAAGACTCAACTGGTTGAACAGAAAAGAGAACCTGCATTTCCAGAATCACAGTGCTTTTTATGTTCCTACAAGCTACCATTTTTTTTCTCAAGCCTCTCCAGAAACACTTGAAGTTCTGGAATTGAGGAAATCCATGAGTCCGTGAATGAATCAACTTGATAAATATTTTAGAACAGACAGAAGAAAGTTATAAATTAGGCAATGTTTCTAATCCTCCTCCTAATATAAAACCTGAATCATTTTACTGTGAAATATTCATATATATGAACACAATAGAATGAATCAGCATGATGGTCCCTCTCCAGTAAGAGTTTATCCTTTGGAAATTTAGCAGCCTAGCCCCAAATTTAGCAGTTCCAGTAAACAAAATTCTCAGATTTAAGAATTAGTTGACCAGATTAATCAGAATCACTCTTTCCTTTTTCCTGGGTCCCTGGAACCCGAGAGGCTCAGGGGTTCTAACGTACAAAGTAGGAAGACCAACTCCGTGGAGTAGAAACAAACAGCCTTTGAAGTTCTCTCAAACTCCTCGAAGTTCAGACTCACAAAACTAAGGCCCAGAGAGAGGCGGAAGTCCTAGACTTCTGAGAACCTGCCTCTTCTTGGAGGTGATTTCTGGACTGTCCACCCCTCAGGGAAGACCACATTCACTCCAGGGGTGAACCCTTAACCCTACATGACGCATTAAGAAAATGGTCATCTCAGTATAGCACAAGGTTGCCAGCATTTACACCACAAATATGTGAAATACAGATGGTCCCAGACTTAGGACGGTTCTAAGTTGAAAACGTACTTTCAACTTAGAATATTTTCAACTTATGATGGGTTTTTGGGGATGTAGCCTCATTGTAAGTTGAGGGGCATCTGTAGTGAAAAGATTCTTTCATTACATTTAAGTCTTGAAAATCCCAACAAAGAAACCCTTTGAGGTATTGCTTGCACAGAAAATTCCCATCTTTAATATTAGTCACAAGAAACATTCATTAAAACTCCAAAGGATGTTGTCCTCAGACCCACAGCCAGCCTTAATTATAAGGGAAATAGGCAGAACCCAAGTAACCCTGGAAAAACAACCCTGCTCAAAACAATTTCTCCCCCACTCAGCTGTCCCAGGGCTAGAAAACCCACTGCTGGAGATGGTTCCTTTGGGTGAGGCATTGCGTTAGGCATGGAGTCGCCTTAGAATAATGCCAGGAGTGACAGCATCTGCAGGCCACCAACAAGGGGGTGTGAACTCACTTATCAGCTGCCTACCCTAGCAGCACAAGTCCCCAGCAATCAACCAGGGGAAGGGAGCAAGAGACACCAGGAAAAGCATGAAGAGTGAGTTCCTATGATGCGTAATTTTACCTGGGACCAAAGAAAAAGAAAGGGCAGTGAGGAGATGGGCATTTCTAAGAGCTTTACCTGTCACGAAATGTGGCCTTCACTGGGGGAGATAATGAAGGTTATTGTCGGCTGGTCTCCCTGGTGCCAGAGGAGTCCATGCAACCATTGCAATTAAATCTAATTTTGAATCCACCAAATTAGATAGTACAGAAGATTAATATAAAGCTCTCAGTGACTGACATGGTTCCATTCACCCTACAGGCCACAGGGCTTCAAGGCATTAATTAATGCCTTTGACGCCAAATGTTTATGTTTCTAAATCACTGTCTGATCTTCCCTCCGCCCTCTTAACAACAGCATCTTAGTGACATGATTTCCTTAAGGAGATTATGATTTTATCCTGAAGTCTCCTTTACAATAGTTTTTTCTCCATATTAAAGTAAGCCATTACCAGTGCCCCGGGAACACATAAAACTTTGAAAAGCCTGAAACAACCTTAAAAATTACACATTGACTTTTTTCAGAGTGAGCAGTAATGTTCAGCCATAACTTTGTAAAGTAAGCAGGGGCATTGTTAAAAGTGGGAGAAGAAAATTGGTAATTATCTTCCAGCCTCTACTCCCATTGCGTGAAAATGAAATTGAGATGGAACTAGAAACAAGAAACAAAACATTTACGGTGCTCTGGCAGCAGATTTTTCACCATAAATGGCAAGAAGGAAGAGCAGAGGAACACAACACTTAGATATTAGATTAGCGGCCAATAAAGTTCTCCCATCCTAGTATCACACTCGGGCTCCTGTGACCAAATAAAGCACTGTTCGTGAAGCCTCACTCTGCAGTAACCTCTCTCTCTTTTAAGTAATGGGTTCACTGTCTATTAAAATTGCTCATTTTCAACACAGCTGGCTCTCTGGACTTCGTAAACACGTTGAATGTGCACCAGGTACCCTAGATAATGAAGAGGAAAAACTGCGCTGTGGTAGCAGAACACACACAAGAGGCAGATTCAGTTGCACAAGACCAGGGGGAGCAGGGACTTCGTACCAGAGTCCGCACTCCTAGAGTGTTCTAACCAGAGGTAAACAAAGTAGTGAAAGTGGAAGTCTTCCAGGAGTGGGGTGCCCTCCCCTGTCACCAGCCATGAGCTAGGAATACGTTGGAGAAACTCTCCTTTCCTCTCGCCTTCCCAGAAAGACTCTGCAGCCCCCCAGCCCCTCTGCTCAGCCCTCAGCAGAGGGGCACGGGAGAGGTCAGAGCCCGGGGTCTGTGGAGTGGCCATCCTGCCTGGACACATCCAGCAAAGACATCTTTGAATCTCCTGCCTGTCCAACAAGGGCCCTCCTTGTAGGTCGACTCCACTACTAAAATATCAAGTGACATTTTATGAAAATATTCCTACGGTAGGCTGAGTAATGGCCCCCAAAGATATGAGGTCCTAATATCTGGAACCTTATTTGGAAAAAAGGGACTTTACAGATATGATTAACTTAAGGCTCCTGAGATGGGAAGTTATCCTGGATTATCTGGGTGGGCCCTAAATGTAATCACAATAGTTGTTACGAGAGAGGCAAAAGGAAGTTTGACCCAGCAGAGACACCGTGACCACAGAGGCAGAGACTGGAGCGAAGCATCCATGAGTCCAGGAGTGCTGGCAGCCCCAGGAGACGGGAGAGGCCAGGAACAGTGTTTCCCCTTAATGCCGCCGGCGGGCGTGAGGCCCTGACCACAGTTGGATTTCTGCCCAGCGATACTGATTTCAGACTTCTGGCTTCTAGAACTGTGAGAAAATTAATTTCTATTGTTTTAAGCCACCCAGTTTGTAGCAGTTGGTCAAAGCAGCCATCAGAAATTAATGCAATACCCAAGCAAAGGAGAGAATACAGAAAAATGGAGAATGTTGAGGATAGAGAATTTTAGGGAC